AATTACATTCATATACATATATATATATATATATAAATTCATTCATATACATATATATATATATATATATGGACGCTTATTAATAATCGAAAAATACCTGATCATGTTTTATTGGACGTGTAGCTCAAATTGAACATAGATTACCTACTTTTCTGCAAATGCCATTCAATCATATAGGCGAAGTGTGTTTGTCGCCCTTCTTGCCATAGTAGCTAAGATGAAGTATATGTATAGTGGTTAATATTTACTATCATCCCTTAAGGTTGTTCTGGTTGAGATCACGTATTACTTGAGGTATCTAAACGCGCGATATTTGAATCTAATGCGTCACGGATACTGTCACTCGGACGTGTTGTATATATGAAATACATTCACCGATGATGCTCCGTACATGCACGCTGTCACACCGGACTATTGCGGATTAGCACAAATGATGGGTATGTACCGGCTTGGCTGAATAAACAACCCTCGATAAAGGCGTGCTTATTAGGGTGGACTACATATCCATACCAGTAACACGCATACGGTCTGCTTATCCCCGGCATCTACCACTTAGACCTACATCACCAAGAATGCCGGCGTTACTGCTGCGACGGTGGATGAGGCGTATGAGGCTATTACCAATGGACGTTTGTTTTATTTGACACCGGACCGGTTTACGTTCAGAGACGCCCAGACACTGTACCGAGAGCTCAAGGTCACCTACTGGGAGCATCATGGCGACAAAGTCGAGGTTTGTTTTAGTGTGGGTGCAAGGGGGAGTATACGGATACACATGTGTGTATGTGCACGTATGAGGGATGTACGTCTACGTACACATATGTGTGTATGGGCACGTATGAGGGGTGTATGTTTACGTATACACATGTGTGTATCTGTACTTATGAGTGACGTACTTTTACATGTACACATAGCTGCACTCTTTACGAGTAGGAGAGTTTCACACGCTGCAAAGTAAAGATTACCTACAGGAGGTGCTTTATACTATTTGAATATTCGCGTTTATACCACGTTTATTCTATACTCACCTATGCCTTTATTCTTTGCAATTTTCAATCCCCATGCTTGTTGTGTTAAAGTGGCTTGGTTTAGTATACTAATACTCAGTCCATCTCTGTATTTGCGTTACGTAGAATTACGCTGATGAGAAGCGACTGAGCTATCGCATGACCGCAGCACTGAAGAATCTGAAGGTTTTACTCTTCCACAACACCACTGGATGGGTAGCCCTACACGGTGCACCTCAGCTGCCCAAACATCAACAGTGGTAAGTCTGGTTTAACAATAGATATTAAAAATAACTCTGCGTGGCGCCTCTGCGCACCTAGAATGAGTCCTGGCAGGGGAGACAAAACAGTATCGGTTTGGTGTAATCAATATTGAAATATGTATCGTGGCTATCTGGACATCTGGACTAGGCCACACCACCGACCCTATGACATTGTATTTCACATCTCGACTACTTGCATTATAGTTATATTATATATATATGTGTATATGTGTGTGTATGTATGTATATATCCATACCTATATATACATATATATATATATGTATAGGAAGGAGGTCGAATAAAAATGCGTATCTTGATTATTGTTTATATAGTTTATATAGTTGGTGGGTCTTCTGTGGGGATGCATCAGATGGAGTGCTACTTGGTCAAGCTCTTCATCCGACTACCGTAGCTGCACTCCCAATAGTATTGCATGCTAATCCCGAAAGTTCGGTACTCTTTTCTTTCCGTTGCCAGGAACTGGCGAGAGCAGTACTGGCCTAAAGACGCAACAGAAGTCTCGTTCACCGATGTGCTGGCGATCAATTCGTCGTTTCAGCAGTGGAAGAACGGCATCCAATACCCTGGTGTGTACTTTGTGTAGAATCTTGTATCCTTAAAACCCCTAAGCCCTAAACTTTAAAACTCTAAAACCCTAAACCTTAAAACACACACAGTATCCTGGCATATATTGTGTGCAGAAGCCTGCTTATAGCCAAATAGAAACTGTATATATCGTGTTCACATGCAGGTTATGGTATGTGTAGGCCCGTATCCAGCTTTAGTAGTGTACTGTTTATAGCGCTTGGGTAGATCCAGGCATGTATTTCTCCCATGGGCTTAGTTATATCCATCTGTACTCTCGTTCTATACTACTTGTAGGAGCTGGACCATATGCTGATGGAGACTGTGTATGGGAGCTTGTTCACGTGAACGTCGGTGATTTTGCTATATATATCTATCTTATCTATCTATATATATATACATATATATACCTGCATATTGACATATATATATATATATGTACCTATATATTGGCCTATATATATATACCTACATATTGACCTATATATATATACCTACATATTGACCTATATATATATATACCTACATCTTGACCGTATGGAATTGAAAGTTTCTTTGGGTAGACAGTAGATAAGTAGGGTATATCATATCAGCACATTGTGTACAGGGTTTAAGGTTCTAGCTATAGACATACTTACCTATTCGCCGCATCAATATTAAGATCTTTTTACGTAGACAGTAGACTAGATTCCATTAAAGCACCGCCTTGTGTACACACATGCACGTGCTTCTGAACGCATGTTCTGTGGTTAAAAAACAGAACGCGCATTGAACATGCCGAATTCATAACCGTTTCTGTTTTGATTGTCACAGGACTTCAGTACCACATGCGAAATGTCTGATATATTTACATGAAGGTGTCTGTGCACACGTTTGCAAGTGTATCTTTGATGTTTATTAGTATTCCGCCTATAACCTTGTCTGAATATACACATGCTCGTCTCAGTACAATATACTGCTGGAACCCGCATCATCACGACTTACCACAGTCTTAGCATACAGTAGTATCGGTAGCTGATAATGAGTGTATAGGTCATTAATCTAATCTCAGGACAGCCATGAGATATTAAGAATCGTTACGTTCACTCAACAATGTTTCCACACCCTATATCCACAAACAGGACTCAAGTACAAACTGCACCCACACTACAATGTCTACTACCCTACCCAGGCTGGCCATATCAAGCTATTTCGGGTATGCAAGTGTTCATATCTTCGGTAGAATACATGTGTGAAGTGTAGGTAGTTCGGTTAATATATGTAACCGCTATATATATATATATATATGTGTGTGTGTGTGTGTGTTTGTATGTATATATATATATATATACATGCTGTTCTTAAATGTGGGTTGGTATGCTAGAGTGTACTTGTTGTCAACTCACGCTTCAATCGATATGTATTGTACCACCTATCGTGTATCACGAAATACGTTGCCTATGATTTTGAAGTTCTCTGTTTACACAGTTCAGATGTGCGTTGCCTCTCCGAACAAACCTACACGCACTCACCGACACACTTCAGACAACCCAGTCGATTGCAAAGCACTGGTGAGTGTAGTAGAGGATATCAGTCGTAAGTACTACCAGCCACTGAACGCTGTACCGAACTGCACCTGCCACCACCAATGATACAGTAGTGTCGCAATCGCAGACACTTGTAATCTGAGTGATTCAAAACACACACGTACTAACCCCTCTGAAATGTAGACCCTAAACTCTATACCCTACCTTGACCAACCCTGAGCCCCAACCCCTAACCCTACCTTGGCCAATCCTTTGAAATAGAAATGGATGCAGCAATACTCGAGCCGCAAGCGCTTTCAGTCATTGAACGTGGCAGATATTGGCTGTGGCTGTGGCATTCTCGCCTTCTTGTTGGGCACCTTCGACGCGGTATGTCGATGAATAGGCGGAATGTACGTGCCCACCTCAATATCTGAAATAAGTGTGTGTATGTTTGTGAACATCTATTCATAAGTCTGAGTGTATGTTTATAGATATATATTTGTATGTCCGAATGTCAATGTACGTTTTAATATTGATATTTATATGTCTGAATGTACGCTTATAAATATACATATCTAAGCCTGAATGTACGTTTTTTTTAAATATCTGTCTGCAAGTCTGGATGTACTTTCGTCAACACTCTAAATATGTATGTGTATACGTTCGTAAACATATTCACAAGTTTGAATGTATGTCCAAGATCATATATACATCAGCCGACCTCTATTTTCCTGAACATCTATATAGAAGTCTGAATTCGCCTGTCCATGACCACCCACTTAAAAGCCTGAATGTACGTTCATAAACATACTTGTAGGTTTTGATATAGGTCTATGAACATCCATATACAAGTCTGTATATATGTACATGAGCGTCTATATATAAACCTGAATGTCAGTCCATGAGAGTCCATTCATGAGTCTGAAAGCTAAGCTACAATGTATCGTCAGGAGTATTTATCAAAGGTGTGAATGTGCGTCTGCACGTCCATATACATTTTTTTGTAAATCTCATGTATCTCCTATCAGTTATTCAGAACTCTGTCTTATGTGTACAGGTGCGTACTTAGTACATGTAGGTGTGTCGCAGTGTATCTATACCTATGATAGGTACGTATAAACGTTTACAGTTTCTGTGAGATACTTGTCTGTGCTTGTATGCATTTGTGCGCTTGTGTGATGTCTATATCCCTGATTGTATCCTTTTCAAACACATCCATGTGTACTCCAAATATGCATAATATATGTATATGTATATGTGTAACGAGGACCAAAGTCGTCACGCAGATCACTTCTCACGCATTAATAATAACTTATAATATATGTATATGTGTTACGAGAACCAAAGTAGTTATACAAATCACTTCTCATTCATTAATAATAACTTTGTAATATATGTATACGTGTTACGAGGACCAAAGTAGTCATGCAGATCACTTCTCACTCATTGATAATAACTTCTCAAACAGGTCAAGCTAGTGCATGCAACTGACATCAATCCTGCTGCGACCGAGAGTCTGCGAGCAGACCAGGTGAGTCCCTCGGAGATTTGAACGACATTTATTTAACATTTGATATATATATATATGCATGTATATATATATATATGTATATATATATATGAATCTATATATATATATATATTTATATATCCGTATACGTATACGTATACGTATACGTATATGTATGTGTATGTACTTTAACCTGTACTCGTGCATATGCATATGCTTATGCTTATATTTATGCTTATGCTTATATTTATGCTTATACTGTAAATATGTACATATTCATATACATGTACATATACATATACATATACATAGAAACATGCATTTATGTGTATAAACATGTATATATTTTACATCGAGATGTGGAAGTATGCTGGTCGTGTGCACGACTGAGTTCACGTGTGGACATTGCTTGCTAGTAGCTAGTATATAGAATACCGCACCGTTTGTGTAGAGTTTTCCTCGAGTTATTGGATGGTGTTTGTGCGGTGTACCTAAGCCATGTATGTAGATTAACGCATCGGAAAACGCGTTGCGTGTTGTTGCATACACTAGACTGCAGCTGAGCAGCACACTCCCCACACGAGCAGTGATACAGCTGATGTGTACCTGCTTGCTTGCAGTGATATAGTAGGTATGTACCTGTTTGCTGACCATAGCATATGCGTGCGTCTGCCATCCGTATAACAAAGTATCTGTATTGTGCGTGGTTGGGCATACGTTTCCCTACCGGTCCAAGGAGTTCATACTGCGGAGATGACGTACGTGCTATTAAAACCCTAAAAACATCTGCCCTTGCAACAGATTGTTCGCAAGCGCTCTGTCAAGACACTAGAGGTGTTCTGTGGTGACCTCCTGGAGCCCCTTCCGCTGCCACAGTATGATCTTATTGTCTTCAACGCGCCTTGGTTGCCCGATATTGCTGGGGTTGATCACAGCCGCGGTACGTTGTGTTCTGAACACCTTATTGAATATGTATATATATATATATATATATATATTCTATTTATTCATATACATATATATATATATATATATATATATTCACTATTATTATATATATATAGTACTTGTGTGTGTAAGTATGTATGTATGGATGTATATATATGTGTAAATACATTTATGTATTTGTATATATATCTATCTATATATATATATATATATATATATATGTTTACGTTGTGGTCTGAAAGTTGTATCGATTATATTAGGTGTCAAGGTGCGTATATGTTATATGTAGTATACCATATGAATGAGAATCAATGTCAGCTGTAAACTCTGTCCACGTCCGTTGCAACTTTTCACTCAGCTACAACGAAGCATGGTGTACCATTTTATGGATGGGTTGTGGATTTGCATAGCTTCATTAGTGTCAATGATACTAGTACAACCACCTATTACAAACATATATATTGATATTAGTACGAACATATATATACTGATACTAGTACAACCACATATATCGATGCTAGTACAACCACATATACTGATGCTGGTACAACGGAATATGCAAACCTTCCAGTTGTTATAAGCAGTCGGTCGCGTATGTTGTTGTCTTGTCTGTTGTTCTGGACTTTAATTATTCCATTCCAGTGATTGGAAATCTAACAATCTTAGCAATGCCAATGGACCTGCACCCTTTTTTTGGGGTTTAGGACTTATTATGCTACTGCTTGTATGGCACTCGAAACACCATGGCTTCACCATAAACACAGTTGTATTGCACCTGCACCGCATATGTGGTATCTGTTCTAAAACCCTGAAAACCCTGCAATCGAAGCAGCACTTGAATCGCAACGTCTGCGGGTATACTCGAGTATACTCTTCCAGTCACAGCAGCAGCAGCAACCCTGCCATAGCATACACTTATTTGTATTTATCTACCTAGTATCTGTAGAGAGGGCATACCATACCAAACATCTGTGCTCATGCAGTCGGGGCATGTGGAGTTCCACTTACACCACAATACTGGGACTCGAGCGCTATCATGACATCCACAAACCTCGGAATACGCCTATTTTTATTTGTTCAAATACACAGGATCGTTTGACATGGCTGTGAGTTTCCCGCCTGACCTCTACCCACGCTTCTTCGAGCAAGCGAAGGAGAGACTCACACCCGACGGCCGCATAGTGGTTATTGGGTCAGATTTGTCCCGATTATTGGGCTTGGAGAAAGAGAGCCCAGTAACGAGAGAATTAAGGGACAACCCAGATAGGTTCTACTGTGCGGCCATGTACCAGGGTGAGCATGCACCTGGACTCCTAAAAAAGGACTCAGTTGTCCCAGAAGACAAGAATAAGGGCCCCGGTGATTCCAAGGCGTCGGCGGATACAACGTACAAGGCGAACAAGTGGAAGGCAATCGCTACGAGGCAGCAGAAGATGCAGCTGTGGGAGTTAGAGCACGAGTATCCGGCTGACATCGTGAATCCCGAGGAGCAATGAAGTGGACCTAGTGCACACATGCACGTGTCATGGGCTTCTCAGAGGTATATATAATGGGCTCTCATACGTGAATGTATGTGAGTGCGGGCAGACACTTAGCCGTATTTGCCTGGGTACCTGAAATATCACAGACCGGATTTGACCCTACATGTCCCGCCAATGTACCAGATGAGTGTATGTGTCTCATGCAGGCCCTGTAAGTATTAGTCAAGAGGCGTGTGCGTCATCCAATGCACGCTTTCTACGCGAATGGATACTGCAGTACCTACTGGTGTCAGCGGAGTGTTTGCGTGGCATTCGACGCCCCTAAGCACATGCCACAGATATAGTATCGTCCACTACACAGACGAACAGCCATTGCTCATGTCCTGTGAATGATTATTGGGAGAGATACGCTCTCGTAGCCGAGGCCCTGGACTAGCGAGCTGTTAATCGTGGGCGTTCTCCAGTGGGAGAGGCTTCGAATGGGTAGACACTGTGCAGGCACACTCTACGTGTCCGGTTAGGGTCGCTCCGTGGCGGTATGTTGAGAATGGTAATGGTATGCGCTGCGGTAGGCAGGAGGACCAATTTTTGAGGAGGCGAGATATATCACTCTAATGAGCGTCTGTGCGTGATGAATACATCGGTGGTGGCCACATGAGGTGGGGTGATTACACCGAGAGATTTCTTATATGCAGTTGTCTGGTGCGCCAGCTGTGGTACTTACTGGGCAGCTTCCGTGAGCGTCAGAAGAAAGGCAGCTACATTGACCGCCAAGCGGGTAGTATGTGCACAGCCCCACAATGCTCGTTCGCAGTGAATCGTATAGGCGACGAGTGATGTCAAAGGGCGGTAGCTATAGAAGTTGCGATACGCCACAAGCCCTGCTAGACAGAACGGGTCTAGTTCAGCGGACATCTTGAATGTTGAAGCGAGTGTGGCGAGTGCAGATAAAACAGAAGTATAGAACCTGACTATGAGAAAACACACCTCTGTAAAACATACCCGACATCAAGCCTCTATATGCACATTCGGGTTATCGAAAGCTCCTTGCGAACTACACCAGATGAAGAACTGATCTCGAATCCTGAGGCCGATTGGTCCATTAAATCTTCAAAAAAAAGTTGGCATCAACTTGTGCAACTAGACATAAAGTCATCTCACTGCAGGTGTACTAATCTATTTCCTGAGACGCATAAGTACATTTTAAATATTTGTCAACTTGTGCAACTAGACATAAAGTCATCTCACTGCAGGTGTACTAATCTATTTCCTGAGACGCATAAGTACATTTTAAATATTTGAAGTTTTAAACATCAACAGTGCAACGTCTTCGTTACCTGAAACACGTAAGTAATTTGATAAATCTTCAGAGGTTTTGTCCCCTACTTGTGCAACTAGACAAAAAGTCATCTCATCGCAGGTTTACTAGTCTATTTCCTGAGAAGCTTAATAGTACATTTAGACATATTAGTACTTTAGACCTTTTCTCTCCTACTTGTGCAACTAGACATGAAGTCATCTCATGCCAGGTTTACTAGATGCCTTTTATCTGAGGCACAATAATACATTAATTCTTCAGAAGTTTGTCCCCTACTTGTGCAACCAGTCAATATGTCATCTCATCCCAGGTTTTTACTAGTCTATTACCTGTGACACATTAGTACAATAAATTTCCAGAAGTTTTGTTTTCTACTTGTGCCAGTCGACATAAAAGTCATCTCAACCCGGGTTTACTAGTCTTTGTCTCGTGCATGTCAAACTGCTCAAATTCACCCATAATCACGTATCCAACCCTATCATCTACTATTCTATTCCTCGATTCTTGAGAACACATCGTAGTAAAAACACCAACCGACCGCCAAAAATAATAAGCTACAATTAAATATATAAAGATCTTGAGGGTGGCATGCGTTCATGTGTGTGTGCTGCATCGCAAATATCACTCCAAAACTGTAAGCGTTCATGAGTATTGAAGTGTAGAAAAACACTTACAACGCAAATATTGCTGGCTTGTGACCTACTCACTATTTTTAAGGTGAAGGATATCTGCACCGTAAATGTCGCTAGCTTAAACCTATTATCACTTTTCATGCCATATGATAATATATGGGTATATCGCTTACACATTGTACTACCAGAAATAAACCTATGCTACTAATAACCACTGGCGAGGGCTGGTTTGGGTTGAAATAACTGGTTGTGATAGCGAAGTTCAAATTGCTATTCGCAGTGTATTTCCACCGGCGATTGTTGAATCGAAACTCAGCCAACTTCATGTTGGCGTGCTTCTAAAAACATTTGCGACTATCTCCTGTCTTCGAACTGTCAAGTTGGTCCTTTTTATACAGGGCAACTGAGTGGAAGGATGGTATGCAACTTGAATATTTATCTATGTAGCAAATAAAAATACCCCGAGTTGTTTACATTGGGGAGGGAACTACATTCTGCGGTAATCCTTAGTATGCCACTTGGCACCAAAGTCTGACAACCACAAGACGTGCCGATATCTTTACATTGAAACAGAAACAGGTAAGCGAAGTGAAGCAACAACTGCATAAAAAAACGACTAACCGGCACAATTGTCCGTCAAGATATAAATATTATCGAATTGTATTTGTTGTCTGTAGCTATTGACAAGTATCCTCAATTAGTATGACATTTTGTGAATTTTATTCACAGCAGACTGTAATATCGTACTATTAAATTTGAAGCTATATTTACAATAACGATTTCCCTGATGATATAAGCATGCGCTCGCCCAATAGTTGTTTAATACCGTTGGTTTTTTTGGTCTTTCTTACCAGCCGACTCAATCATATTTTAACGCTGCATTTCGCCTGGCCGGTACTGCTCAAGCATTCTGAATCATGGCCGTCATCTTGATCTATATCAATAGTATCGCCATCACCTTACTTCTTATCTTTGCAGCAGTGAGAGCTGGCACACTTTTTATCACCATATCTGTAACAGGTCTCGTGCTTGTCTACATCCTTGACTAGGCTCTTGCACTTGCCTTGGTTGGTATCTTGAGAACTCTTCATCTTGTTTACGAAAATAGGGGGACAGCGGCAGTGCAAATTAGGATCCAGAGACCAGCCTCCAGACTCAGCGCCTCATGATAAAACTGAAAGAAAATCGTTCACTCTCCTATAGACTTTTAGCCTTTCAAGTTTCAACAACGGCTCAAGTTTAAACTTAAGTCCATAGTTTATTACTTTGATTTCACTGTTTCAACTTTCAGTCGCTCCGAGAAATTCTCCATCCGCTTTTGACTCAATTCGGAATCAAAACTCAAAACTGTAAGGCAAACAGTCACTCACTTATTGACTAGATTGTTTTGTTAATTGTAATGTCTTTTGTCCGGTTTGTATATTTTATTAAAATTTACGAATGAATACTGATATCTTACATCTAAATATAAAGATTTTATGGGTCATTATTGTGACTTGCGTAGTTCTGATTTTAGTGGTATACGAATAGATTCAGAAAGCTACAAGTACCGAAATGCTGGGCTGGTAAAAAGACGCGAGTCGCGTGTCGACGACAGACCTATTTAGTGTTGACCCAGACCCGACTGTCGCAACACCAAACGACATGTCAGACATGTCGTCGACGACATTCCTCTAATGGTGTCTGACGTTGTCGGATACCAACTCAGCCGAAATATAAGTGCTTGACAGTTTAAAAAAAGCATATCGAGATTACCTTCATGTTGTATCTTAAGCTGGTAGTAAATAAATACTTGGCTAGTTGCTATTAAGCCTCGCATGAGCGGCCCAAAGGCCAGAATTGGGCACTGGATCGGGTTGAGGTTACAGCTTATTATTGCCTATGATGCATATCATGCAAACTCTAAAACAGCTACATACTGGGATACACTCAAATTGTAGTACATTTCCACCTGATTAGGGGGCTACGTGGCCTATACAATCATGGTTGTATGTATCCTACACAATCGTACGTGTATGTAACATGTACATTTTTCTTTTGTAATATGTACATTTTTCTTGTACATTTTCTCAACATTCCTTGAGTCCGTATTGGGAAGTGAATCCCCTTTGTGCAGCAATTTTTATGAAGTCACTTGGCACCCAGTTTTAACATCAGAAAGTTGCGATATCTAGCATAAAATTAGAAGCGGGTAAGTTAAGTGAAATATCAGGTACTTGCATGTGACTAGTTAGCGCATTTGTCCGTCGGGATATAAGTATTGACGATTTTAATTTGATATGTGCAAGTTTTGACAAGTATCCTCGAATAGTATATGAATATGTGTGTGTATGCACTTTATTTTTTAGTAGACTACAATATCAAACAATTAAATACACGATCAACTAAACAACAACAAATCCTCAAAGGCATCAGCTTGAGCTCGCTTATCTGTTGTTACCAATTTATTTATTTTTACCTATAAAGCCTCTATTAATAAACAACCCACTCGTATTCAACCGCATTTCTTCTGGCTAGTCCTGTTTAAAAGTAACCAGAATCGGGGCCGTCATCATGATCTATATCATAAGTATCGCCATCACCTTACTTCTCATCCTTGCAGCAGTGAGAGCTGGCACACTTTTTGTCATCATATCTGTAACAGGTTTTGTGCTTGTCTACATCTTTGCCTAGGCTCTTACACTTGCGTTGGTTGGTAACGTTAGAACACTTCATCTTGTCACCTTTATCATCATGAACGGGGTTATCCTTGCAACAGTAGGAGGGGGAACACTTGTCATCACCGCTCAAATTGCAGTGCAGACTGGTGTCGATATGCTTGTTGAGACCCTCGCACTTGCCTTTGTTGTTGGACGGAGAGCACATATGCTCCATAGGGGCTGGCGAGGCAGCCATCACCATGGCAGATGCGGCGGCTATTAGGAGAGCAGTGCTGTAGAACTTCATGTGGTTTAGTTGCAAATCACCGTCTTGATTGTCCAAATGAGAGGTATGTGAGTTGTGGTGCTGAACGTGCTCTATTTATATATACCAAGTGTCTACCAAACTTTGTACGTAAGCAAGCAGTATTATATGGCATTGGCGCAGTCTTTACATAGTAGTTCCGAAATTTATGGACTGAGATGTTATTTGCCATCAATTTATAACTCGACACCAAAAAACCCCCAATAGAATAAATCGATGCACGAAAATAGAGGGATAGCGGCAATGCAAATTAGGATCCAGAAACCAGCCTCCAGACTCAGCGCCTCATGATAAAACTGAAAGAAAATCTTTCACTCTTTTACAGACTTTTGTCTTTCAGCCTTTCAAGTTTCAACAGTGTTTCAAGTTGAACTTAGTATGTACACAGTTTGCTCACTTTGAGGTTTCACTGATGACTATTTCACTGTTTCAACTTTGTCTTTCTTTCAACTTTCAACTTTCAGCCGCTCCGGGAATTTCTCCACGACTCCATCCGTTTATGATTGAAGTCGAAGTAAACTGTAAAGCAAACCTCAACCAGACCAGTTCCCAATTATTGCCTTTGGGCCGCTCATGCGAGGCTTTAGCAACTAACCAAGTATTTACTATCAGCTTACGATACAAGTGGAAGGTAATCTCGATATGCATATTTAGTACTGTCAAACACTTACATTTCGGTACTTGAATCTTTCTGAGAATCTATTCTTTTTAATAAAAAAACATATACCACATAAAAATCTTTATTACTCCCAACGAAAATATTTAGATATCTTTCGTAAATTTTTAAACATTTAGCCGGACAAAAGACGTAACAAAACAATCTAGAGTAAGTGAGTAAATATTTGCTTTTCAGTTTACTCCGACTTCAATCAATAATGAATAATTATAAACGGATTGAGTCGTGCTGAATTTGAGAAATTCCCGGAGCGGCTGTAAAAGTGATCAAACAAATAACTATGTATTTACATATTGTTTCGGTTGTACAACCCATGTTGTACTCTTTACCAGAACTTATTGCTCTAGATTGATGCTTGGGATTCTACCGGAGCACAAGCTGCGTTGAGTTGTAAATTGGATCAGGTACCATGATTTTCTTTCGGTATTTGCCGAGCGCGGAATGTATTCTGCTGTGGTTAAGGTCGAATTAGTTGTACGTAGAGTTCAATCTTGCAATATACTGGATATCACGTTCTAATTGGTAGAGAGCCAATGTATTTTTGGAAACATTCCATGCGGTTGTAAAATTGTTTCAACAAATTATCACTAATCACACATATTCAAATTGGGATCGACTGTTTATTACAACTACACCTATTCCATTGAGTGCACATACATGCTACAACCTTGATAGAAACATAGACAATTTGTATACTGGCTCCCTCGCACGTGAATCTCGCTCGTTATATTAAGAACTATAAAGATTTTTTACAATACTGGGATCTGAATCACCCTTGGGACACATATGATAATCTACTCAATATTCCACACAGTATAACTACAAAAATCATGCCACAGCATATAGTTCAATACTTTAACCTTCTGGCCTATGGGACTGAAACTCCCGGCCCTGATGATCATCCTACTCTCCGCAGAGAGTCTGGACTTAGTTTTCTAAAAAAATCCATCTCTTACTTTATGCCGCGTATAGCAAGCGACTGGGATCCAGTTGATATGAAAGGAAATCCAACAAGGTCAATGGCCGTAAATAATCTACTGAAGAGTATTGAGAGGGCAGAGCTATAAGGTGAGAGTAAAGCAGACGCTGCAAAACGTCCCATAGAGTATGACGAATTTAGACAAATACTCGCTATCAATTTAGAAGACACATTTTCAAAGTAGTTGCTTGCACGCACTATAGACATGGACATTTCAACTTATATGTCGCGTGGATGACGCGACAAATATGAAATTTGAGGATTTACAACCAAGTGGTGACAATCCTGATCAGTTTATCGATGCTTTATACCGCAGCAAAAAAATACGAAATAAGGGCCAAGTTGTAACTCAAGTAGTTCTAGGCTCAATAAATAATTATCTGTGTGCTTTAGGTGCTATTGCTGGGCATCTTGTTGAACGTTACTGAAACGTACCAATATAGAACAATTGAATTTGGGATATATGTTTACCTTAAACGGTACAGTTGGTCGCTATGTACATAGTACATACTAAGCTCAAACTACAAACTTCAAACACTGTCGATACTTGAAAGGCTTTAAAAAACAAAAGTGTGTAAAGGAGTGAAAGATTTTCTTTCAGTTTTATAATGAGGCGCTGAGTGAGAGTCTGGAGGCTGGTCTCTGGATCTTAATTTGCACTACCGCTATCCCCCTATTTTCGTGCATGAATTTATGTTTATGGGGATATTTTCGATGTCGGGTGATAAACAGACGGCAAATAACATCTCAGACCATACATCTCGGATATACCACGTAAAGACTGCGCCAATACCATATAATATTGCTTGCTTCCGTTCAAAGTTTTGTAGACACATGGTATGGATAAATAGAGCACGTTCGGCACCACAACTCACATACCTCTCATTTGGACAATCCAGACAGTTATTCACATCTAAACAACATGAAGTTCTACAGTACTGCTCTCTTAATGGCCGCCACATCTGCCATGGTGATGGCTGCCTCGCCAGCCCCTATGGAGCATATGTGCTCTCCGTCCAACAACAATGACAAGTGCGAAGGTCTTAACAAGCATATCGACACCAATCTGCACTGTAACTTGAGCGGTGATGACAAGTGTTCCACCTCCTATTGTTGCAAGGATAAACACGATGATGACGATAACGACGATGACGACGAAATGATGTGCGCTCCAGATAATAACCAGGGCAAATGCGAGAGTCTAGGTAAGAAAATTGACAAGCACGTGACTTGCTACAGATATGGGGATGAGAAGTGCACCAGCTCTCACTGTTGCAAGGACCACCATGGGGATGGTGGTGCTAGTGATCACGATGATGATGATAAAGGCGACAAGATGAAGTGTTCTCACGATATCAACCAAGGCAAATGTAAGAGCCTAGGCAAGGATGTAGATAAAGCACGAGACCTGTTACAGATATGGTGACAAAAAGTGTGCCAGCTCTCACTGCTGCAAGGATAAGAAGTAAGGTGATGCCGATACTGATGATGGAGAGCATGATAACGGCCATCTGACTCAGAATGCTCAAACAGTACCAGCCGGGGGAAATGGTTTATAGAAGAATCGGCTGATAAGGGCAACGTCTATATCCCAAATGGTTGCTCGTGTAACTATTCGATAATAGAGTACACTGTGAATAAAGGGCCCATACTTATAATTATATACTAATTGGGGATACTGGTCAATGCATGCACACAAGGATCACTGGGCCAACTTGGAAGATAAATAGCTGTCGCTTACTACTCTCTTACGAGCTACAAGGATCGTACTGCACATGGTGGGATGACACTTATCGAATTCAACACACGGTATCGTCACAGTTTGTGGTGGTTAAACCTAAAATGTGTCTCGCATTCAGTAGGGTAGGGTGGGGTACCTATTAGCTTTTGCCCCTGGCCTATGTCCCGTTGAAATCTTATTCAAATCTTTGCAGCGTATGATAAGACCAATAGCAGTGGTTTAAAACTTCACCACGATCACATATATGACTGCGTGTTGAAGCCATATAAATGGGTAGGTAGTAAGATATTGATTCCTGGGCACGTCTATAGACAGGTTGGGCGCCATATGTTAATTCGCAATATGCTACGGTTGGCATCTTGGGTTCAGTACCATACAATTTGGTGCTCTAATATACGTATTCTATATCTGGTGATCTGCATTTACTGTCTGTGTGTTTCTGTTGTCAACAAGCTATGTTGGGTTCCGTTTTCTGTTTTCTCGTCCAGACATTACTCGTCGTAAACTGCACTATCTTTCATGGCTTTGGTCAACTCCGAAATCTCCATCTGTATAGCGCAGGGAAATGGCGCGACATGAGATGGCTACAAAACGGATCAGAAGTGATTAGCCCCAGTATTAATATATATATATATATATATCTATCTCTCCATCTCTCTCTCTATATATATATATATACATAACTGGGTTATTTTA